AACTTATTAAAAAATAAGCAAATGTAATGTGTGCGTTAATGAGTGGTATTTGAGGACACTTGCTAAAATAAATCCTTACAACTTAATAGCCACGCTGCACCATCCTATATAAGCCTTCATGATTCTTGGAATTAATGATTTTAATAGGTCACGTAATTTACTACATATTGGTAAGTTTCCAATCCGCTCGAGGCAACACTTTATCAAACCATAGAGATAATCATAGAGATTTAAGAGGTTCTATACTGAAGTATAGAGATTTCACATTCATCTTCTTATCTTTATTGAAACAAAAGTATGAAGTTAAATATGTATTAATAAAAGAAATAAAAAAGAATCTGATTTTGCAGCCTATGATAATCTTCTGGGTTAATTACATTTACTTTCCTTGAAATTTAATCAAGCTACTATTTAATCCCTAAGGTTTAGCAAAACTACATAAAAATCCTTCAAATTTAAAAAAAAAAAAAAGTATAACAGATGCACCCTCTCGTTAGTCAGTTGACGTTGACTGTTAAAATTTTAATGATTGTCAGCCTGCAATTTTAATGAAATTCCTAGACTACCCCCAAAAGCATACCTTTCTTCCCCATGGCCCATTGTTGTTATTTTTTTTATCGAGAAAAATGCAGTTTTGGTACCTAAACTTTGACGCACAAGCAGTTTTAGTCCCCAAATTTTGGACGAAAACAAATTTGGTACCCGAACTTTCAAATTTTGAGCACATTAAATACCCTTGACGATTTTTTCCCAAATTGTTACCGGAAACATCCATGTGACTGTCAGGTGTCCGGCGAAAATGGAAAAAAAAAGGTCAAAATGCAGTTTTGGTACCTAAACTTTGACGCATGAGCGGTTTTAGTCCCCAAATTTTGGACAAAAACAAATTTGGTACTTGAACTTTCAAATTTTGAGTACATTAAGTACCCTTGATGATTTTTTTCCAAATTGTTACCAAAAAAATCTATATGACAGTCACGTGTCAAGCCATAATTGTATTTAAAAAAAGCCAAAAAATGTCAAATGCCATTATAATACTAAGTATGAAATTTAAGGACTAATAGCGTAATAAAGAAAAAATCCAAGGGCTACATAACATCACATAAGTCAATAAAACCCAAGAACCGATACAAATGAGCTCCAATTCTAGTACATTAATCTAAGAATCAAGTCACAAAATTTGTCTGGAATTGGAGCTCATTTGTATCAGTTCTTGGGTTTTGTTGACTCATGTGTTGTTATTTAGTCCTTGAATTTTTTCTTTATTACGCTATTAGTCCTTAAATTTAATACTTAGTATTATAATGGCATTTGACATTTTTTGGGCCTTTTTTTATACAATTGTGGCCGGACACATGACTGTCATATGGCTTTTTTCGATAATAATTTGAGAAAAAATCATCAAGGGTATTTAATGTGTTCAAAATTTGAAAGTTCGAGTACCAAATTTGTTTTCGTCAAAAATTTGGGGATTAAAACCGCTTGTGCGTCAAAGTTTAGGTACCAAAACTGCATTTTTGGCCTTTTTTAATTCCATTTCGGCCGGACATGTGACTATCACATGGCTTTTTCCGGTAATAATTTGGAAAAAAATCGTCAAGGGTACTTAATGTGCTCAAAATTTGAAAGTTCGGGTACCAAATTTGTTTTCGTCCAAAATTTGGGAACTAAAACCGCTCGTGCGTCAAAGTTTCGGTACCAAAACTGCATTTTTCTCTTTTTTATCTAAAGCTGAGAAACTCAGACTTTTGAATTAATAAACCTAAATCCCCAAACAACCTTCAAAAGCCGGCAACTTTTGAAGGCGTCCAGGGGACTTATTAACCCAGAAACCCAACCCCCCCATTACGATGTGGGATAGGAAACCCCATAGGGTGCCCCGCTGCTAAGAAGTAAAAATCCCCTAGACTCCCCGAGAAAGAGTTTCCTGTCTTTTTTATCTAAAGCTGAGAAACTCAGACTTTTGAATTAATAAACCTAAATCCCCCATTGTTGTTATTCAAAAACAATTTCTCGGATATACCACTATTAACACAGCAATAAGATAGCTATGGCGGACTAACAATCAGCACCGTACAATTAATGCCCTCTTCCATGTCAATCCACGAACATCAATCTTTCGAGTGAACACGTGGGAATTCTTTGAGCAGATGTCGACTGATCCTCCGAACTCCAAAAGCAGGTAAAAGTTAAGAGTAAAAGCGTGTATGCGCTTTTGAATGCAAATAGATAAACAAACCCAAATAGTAAACTGTACTCCTTCTGTCACATTTTGATAGTTCTAATTTTTTTCACACAGTTTTAAAAGAAATAATTAATTTTATTAAAAAAAAAAAATTAGATTGCTATTTTTCTAAAATACTCTTACATTAAATAAAGTTGGCTTTTTATATATCAATATGTTTTGAAAAATCTAAATGCATTAATGAGATACGTTATATTTAATACTAACAATCTATATTAAATAAGATAATTTATTGTGCTAACAACTTACATTGAATAAGGGTATTTAGAGAAATTAAAAGATAACCACATTCTTCAATTGAAAAGTGGATTATAATTTGAAACAGATGAAAAAGGAAAACATAATTATCAAAGTGGGACGGAGGAGCATAAAAGAAAAAAAGACAAAAGTGTGGAATGCTAATAGATGTCATAATGTCTTTCAATCGGGGGTTTTTAAACCCGAGTTCTGTGCTGCTTTTTTTGTTTTAGACGTTTAGTGTAGGTTGAGAAAAGAGACGTATGAATTTTGAGAATTCATTAATATTAAATAAACTATTGTGAAATTAATAAAATAAATTACAAACAAGTAGAAAATGAAGATTGTAGAACGGAGAAAAGGAAATAGTGAGAATGTTTTTTTATTCAAATATTACAAATGAGTCTTATATACCTCTATTCATAAATGATACAAGATCAAAGGTATGTGTACTAGCATGAATATATAAGTACATGAATTTACTACTTCAAATACATGAATTTAGCTCCATAATGAACCAACAAACAAACTATAAGAAGATGCTATTCCAATGAACCTTTAAAGATGAATGTTTCAATGTATCTTTTGGGGAGACGAATGGATTTCATACTAATCATTTCATTAATTTCGTAAAAAGAACTAGTATTCTTTGCGTGTCAAACCTACGTTTTTGTCTGAAAAAAATCTTTATTACAATCAAACCTAATAGTTACTAGTTTTTAACCAATGAAAATGCTTCAAATAAAATTATGCCAAACTAATAATTGATTTAGATTGTAATAAAATTTCTCCATTTTGTTTTATTTTTTGTTTATCTGTTTTGGTCCCATCTTAGGGAAAAAATTTATAAATTACATTTTGTTGACATTTCTGGAAAACCTTCCAATAAATGATCAATTATTATTTGATGAAGGAAAGATAGTTACCTAATGATGGCATCGAAAAATAAGTCGGCATATAAAACTTAACTAAACATCATTTGTTTGTTTATCATTTTTGGTCTCATATTAGGTGAAAAATCTGTAAATTAGATCTGTTAACATTTCTGGAATGCCCTCGAATAAATGATCAATTATCATTTGATGAAGGAAGGATACAGTTACCTAATGACGACATCGTAAGACAAGTGGGCATATTAACATAAATTGAAGGTTTATAGCTTAATGACTAGTTCATTTACCTAAATTATATTAATAGTTGTTCGTTTCATGGTTTTGTCTAGAGATGAAGGCCAGAGAAAACTGTCTCCACGGTTGTAAAATCAAGTTTTGTATATGGATTACAAGTCGTCATGGTTGTGCTAAAAGAAGGCATATATTCGAGTAATCTACATAGGATTGGATTTTAAATTCAAATCTAGATCATGCTGAAAGTATATACATTATCATTATATAAAAGATCAATTCTTTATATTTTTCGCGTGAAGTTTCGCACTAATTAAAAAGTCTATACACAATGAATGTATAAAAATTATGATTAATTACATTTTGCTCCCTTGAACTTGGATATTTGTAACACTTTGCCCCTCCAAATTCCAAATATATATACTTTACCCTTTATAGTCAACTTTTTGATGGGGTTAAGATGAAGTTATATTTTTCATGACAAAAATATCCTTGGCTAATTCTTAAACACTCATAACATAATAAACACCTATTTTTTTTATAGTTGCTAAATGCATCTAAATACAATTACACTAGGCATTTCGATCTTTTAGCCTTAAAATGAATTAGATAATTCGCAAAAAAGAATTTAACCAACTCAATGTATTTATCTCAATGTCGATAGCAATACTTATTTTAAATGAAATAAAATTAATTAGTGCATTTGGAATGAAATTATTTGCTTATTTTTTTATTGTAGCACTTTTTATGTGTTTGATATGAGAGAAAAAAACATAATTAAAAATAAAAATGTATTAGAGAACTTAAATTTTTTTAAAAAAATGTAGAATGTAGAATGCAAATAAAATACAAAGCAACGTATGAATGTGATATAAAATTACCAAATAACGTTTTATTGACTCGTGAAAATCTTGTGACAGCTGCAAATTAAATGAAAATTATCAAAACTAATCCGTTTACAATTTAAAGGAATAAAGATAAGTAATGGAAAACTTGTGCTGATGTTTTAGGATTTTTTAAATTCTTTTTTTCTCCATAAAAAAATTTTCAATTCTTTGGTATTAAACCATCTTTTATTTCTAAATTTTTTAAATCATATGACTTTGTGTTTTTTCTAACAAAATGTTTTATATTCCGATTAAAAGTATAGCATTATTGTAGAACTATTATGTAAGGGCATTAATGCCATTTTGTTAAAATTTTGGATGGAGAATTCATCATTAATATTTGACTAGTCAATGAATGGGGCAAAGTATATATATTTAAAGTTTATGGGGGCAAAATGTTATAAAGGGTCGAGTTTAAGGAAGCAAATTGTAATTAATCCTAAAAATTAATTCTTCACATTTTTGGTGTGAAAGTTTCGCCCCAGTGAAACAGGCCCTCTGGAGTAAATGGGCAGAGGCGTGTGACTATAAATAGAGTGGCTAATGGCTTGGAAGCGGTGCATATTAGGAGTACATGCTCGATGTAAAAAAATCCGACACAACTTCGAGACGAGACGCACCGTCTCAACTCTCAACTCTCAACCAGATTCCTAAACTCTCTTCTTCTTAGTTGTACTATCCCCCAAAATCTCCTCTGGAGTCTGGTGCCCTCACCGCTGTCCTTCCTGTCCTTATTTGCTCTGAGTTGCATTCGCAGACGGTGAAGTGTAATAAGCTGCATTTCACATTTTCAGCATTGGTTTCCGTTCCTTCTTCTGAGTCCCTCAGACGGTTGAATGCACTAAGCCGTTATAATTAAAGAGAAAAAAAAACTAATAATGCAAGCCCTACATGCTCCCAATCGACTTTCTCCTGCCAATTACCGGTTTTCTCCGGTGAACCGCCGCTTGTGTCCGGTTGTTTCCTTCGAATTCTCCCCTAGTCACAGCTTTAGCTCACGTCTCTCTCTTCGTCGCTCCCTTCCTTCACTCCAATGTTGCTCTCTCCAGTCTTCATCTCCAGGTACGCTCATTCATTGGTTAATGCTCAAATTGTTTCTGTATAATCTGTGCTGGACTTCATGATTTTTGTTTCACTCGTGCAGGTGAAAACGCTGCCATAAATAGTATCGTTATCCCTAAAATGTCCCTTCATTTTTCAACTATGCTTTAATTACATGGTTGTTTCAATCGTGGATCTTTTTTATTTATTCTTTTGTGTTCTCAATTTATTCAGTGACGGATAAAAAAAGATTTATGGAAGCTTCCAGACATGGAAATGTCATTCCGCTCTACCAATGTATTTTCTCGGATCATCTGACTCCCGTGCTTGCATACCGCTGCTTAGTTAAAGAAGACGACCGGGAGGCTCCTAGCTTTCTTTTCGAGTCCGTAGAACCTGGTTTCCGAACTTCCCATGTTGTAAGCCTCTATGTTCCCCTTCAGAATATGGTTTTTCCATTATAGCATGTGTTTTATGATGTTTGTAGATTTTTGGTTTAACTGGTGTTGAAAATGGGAATTGTTAGGGTCGGTACAGCGTGGTCGGTGCTCAGCCAGCGGTGGAAATCGTGGCAAAAGAAAATGATGTCACCATCTTGGATCACTACAGAGGGAAGTTGAAGGAGATTGTTGTGGAGGACCCGATGACGATTCCTAGAGAAATTTCTGAAAGTTGGAAGCCTCAGTTGATTAGTGAACTTCCTGATACATTTTGTGGTATGACTTTAACATTACTCGGACCAGTAATTTCGTTTTTCCTTTCTAGTTGGACTCGTTAACTAGAATATTCTTATTTATCTGTCTATTCTTTTGTTTTCAAGTCGGCTCAGGTTTTCCATTTCTTTTAAAACAAAATTTAATTGTGCATCATTCAAAAAAAAAAAAAAAACTTTTCTGAAGTTCGAATAAAAACGTGAAGTTTCATAATTGAGTAAACTCGTGAAATACTTTTCCTTTTTTGAGGTTGTATCCTGTAACTTCCTGTTTATTCTGTAAGAACAGTAAGTAATGTTTTTGCACATCAGATTATGAGGATTCCGTGAAGGAGTTAGGGTAAGATTTGTGATGGACATAAACTTTTGGGCTTTTCCTTCCCAGAATTGTGTTCCAGCAGGCTGTAGCCATGGATGAAGATTGTTTTGTGATAGACAGGAATTTGGCCGTTGTAATGGAGAGGTTTTATGGGTTCTCTCTGTTACCGAAATTAGTATCTAGTGACTTCAAATGTAGAAAGTAGAAGATGTAATTTGAGTGTGTCCCAGAAACTTGCTGTTTCTTCTCCATCAGTGGCACTCTTCTTGACTGAACTGGTGGAGGCATCGGAATGTTAGACGTCAAAATTCTTATTTAATACAGGGACAATAATCATGGACATCCATATATTTCGAAGAATCACACACTTTTTGGTATTATTATGTTTCTCTTACTTTCCCAACTACCTTCCATTACTGGGAGTAGATGAATTTAGTTCGGAAGTAGCTATTTTTTCTATTCATTCCTGTTTTGGATGTGCTTTCTTTTGTGCCTGACATGTCTTTTGATAGAGTTACTGCATTTTAGACATAAAGTCAATGTTTGAAACGAATTTTCTGTGAAAAATTGTACAGTAGGCTCTTACTTGAGAGGTGAACAGAAATAAAAGTGGAGACTGTATTGCTAGGTTTACAACTTTTCTTGTATACTTAATTACGAGTTCTTTGGGCATCATGTGCAGGTGGATGGGTTGGTTATTTTTCTTATGACACTGTTAGGTACCTTGAGAAGAAGAAGCTGCCATTCTCTCAGGCGCCACGCGATGATAGGAGCCTTGCTGACATTCATCTGGGGCTGTATGATGATGTGATAGTATTTGATCATGTAGAGAAGGTATTCTTGTGTCACTTTCTGCATGTGCATGCCTTTCTGTGTTTGTCTAATTCTTTCAGTTTTTGTGTTGTATAATGAGTCCAGACAGTGAATGGAATGTACAAGTTAATCAATTACCTATAAGGAGGTCTAAACTTGATTGTTCACATTGTTTTGTTAGCTGAGTTCAGCCAGCTTTATGGTAGTAAAGACAATTTGATAAGATCTATGCTAATGTATTAATGCACAATCTAAGCTTTAGTGAGTTTCATCTTAATAGCTGTTATATCATGGAATCTTTATTGAACGTGGGAGGTCACTAACCACTATTTTTATCCTCCCTTAATAGTTCTTGAACATGAACCAGCTTGTCTTAGCCTCTTATCTAGATTGACGGAAAATAGCTTTTACCCTTATATATTAGTTATGGTCACCGTGATCTCTCTCAGGGCTCACCCAATTGCATTTGTTTCGGAAATTCTTCCTGAGTGATTATTAAGAATCCTTCTTGTTCATGCAGAAAGCATATGTTATCCACTGGGTGCAGTTAGATCAGTATCCATCAAAAGAGAAGGCTTACACTAGTGGTATGAAACGCTTGGAAAGACTAATGTCAAAAGTACAAAATATTGATCCGTAAGTTACTGTTTGAATCTTCTATATCATAACATTTTCTTGGTTCAATTTTGATTTTACATCTTCTGTATCATAACATATTAAATTTCCATTTTCAGTCCAAGGCTATCAGCAGGATCTGTTGAATTGTGGACTAACAATTTTGGATTCTCTCTGAACAAGAGTAACATGACAAGAGAAGAGTACAAGAAGGCTGTCATACAGGCAAAGGAGCATATCCTTGCTGGAGATATTTTTCAGATTGTTTTAAGTCAGCGCTTTGAGAAGAGAACATTTGCTGATCCATTTGAAGTCTACAGAGCACTGAGAGTAATAAATCCAAGTCCCTACATGGCTTACTTGCAGGTTAGTACTTCTATTAATACAAAGAACATCCATTCTCTTAATTGTCTGAAGTAAGTTTTCCAACTATGGTGTCTTCATTATTTGATCAGGCTAGAGGAAGTATTCATGTTGCTTCAAGCCCAGAAATTCTTACTCGTGTCAAGAAGGTTATTTACAGATTAAATTCTGAAAATCATTAAACTTTGGCCTTGAGTATACAGCTCTTGATACAGAATTAATGTGGATGTATCAATGTTATTGACAGAAAAGGGTTGTTAATCGACCATTGGCTGGAACTACAAGAAGAGGGAAGACACCTCATGAAGATGAGATGCAGGAGCTGCAGCTTTTAAAAGATAAAAAGCAATGTGCAGAACATATAATGCTGGTCGATTTGGGCCGTAATGATGTGGGAAAGGTTTTACTGACTTACTTTACTCTCTTGTAAAAAATTTTCTTGCATTTTTGTTATTAATGTTTATATTTGGGAGTTTGTAAATATGATCTGCTCCCTGCCCTAAACATATGGTATCTATTGCAGACTTTTCAGAAAACGTATGTTGGATCTTCCATATTTTTCTATGCTTTCTCTACACTGTCATAAGTAACATTATAAGATTTGTCAAATGTAGGTCTCGAAGCCAGGTTCTGTAAATGTTGAAAAACTTATGACTGTTGAGCGGTACTCCCATGTGATGCACATAAGCTCCACGGTGAGAATATCATCATAAAGCCTTGTTGACTATCAGTTTTTCAAATAAAATTGTTCATCCCTGTTGCAGTAATTACATAGTATGGACAATATAGTTTGGTTTTCATACTAGAGAGTTGCCGGTTTTCCTGCGGGTAGAAGTTGTTTCATTTCAGTAGCTTTAAATGTCTTGGCCTCATAACACCTTCATAAACTCATGAGAGTTGAAGAAGGCTTTATTTGAGTAACCATTTTGTTTAAAACCATTGGGACATTATTACAGGTCACAGGGGAGTTGCTTGATCATCTTACTTGCTGGGATGCACTGCGTGCTGCACTTCCTGTTGGTACAGTTAGTGGAGCACCAAAAGTTAGTACTATATCCTTACTTTGTGCCCAATGTATTTTTAGACGTTTAGTGTTGGTTGAGAGACGAGACGTATGAATTTTGAGAATTCATTAATATTAAATAAATTATTGTGAAATTAATAAAATAAATTCCTTACAAGTAGAAAATGAAGATTGTAGAACGGAGAAAAGGAAATAGTGAGAATGTTTTTTTATTCAAATATTAGAAATGAGTCTTATATACCTCTATTTATAAATGATACAAGATCAAAGGTATATGTACTAGCATGAATATATAAGTGCATGAATTTACTATATATTTCAAATACATGAATTTAGCTCCATAATGAACCAACAAACAAACTTATAAGAAGATGCTATTCCAATGAACCTTTAAAGATGAACGTTTCAATGTATCTTTTGGGGAGACGAATGGATATTCATACTAATCATTTCATTAATTTCGTAAAAATAACTGGTATTCTTTGCGTGTCAAACCTACGTTTTTGTTTGAAAAAAATCTTTATTACAATCAAACCTAGTAGTTACTAGTTTTTAACCAATGAAAATGCTTCAAATAAAATTATGCCAAACTAATAATTGATTTAGATTGTAATAAAATTTCTCCATTTTGTTTTATTTTTTGTTTATCTGTTTTGGTCCCATCTTAGGGAAAAAATTTATAAATTACATTTTGTTGACATTTCTGGAAAACCTTCCAATACATGATCAATTATTATTTGATGAAGGAAAGGTAGTTACCTAATGATGGCATCGAAAAATAAGTCGGCATATAAAACTCAACTAAACATCATTTGTTTGTTTATCATTTTTGGACCCATATTAGGTAAAAAATCTGTAAATTAGTTCTGTTAACATTTCTGGAATGCCTTCATAAAAATGATCAATTATCATTTGATGAAGGAAGGATACAGTTACCTAATGACGACATCGTAAGATAAGTAGGCATATAAAACTTAACATAAATTGATGGTTTATAGCTTAATGACTAGTTCATTTACCTAAATTATACTAATAGTTGTTCGTTTCATGGTTTTGTCTAGAGAAAACTGTCTCCACGGTTGTTAAATCAAGTTTTGTATATGGATTACAAGTCGTCATGGTTGTGCTAAAAGAAGGCATACATTTGAGTAATCTATATATAGGATTGGATTTTAAATTCAAATCTAGATCATGTGTAATATATCATGCTGAAAGTATATACATTATCATTATATAAAAGATCAATTCTTTATATTTTTCGCGTGAAGTTGTGCCCTAATTAAAAAGTCTATACACAATGAATGTATAAAAATTAGGGTTAATTACATTTTGCTCCCTTGAACTTGGGTATTTGTAACACTTTGCCCCTCTAATTCCAAATATATATACTTTACCCTTTATAATCAACTTTTTGACGGAGTTAAGATGAAGTTATATTTTTCATGACAAAAACATCCTTGGCTAATTCTTAAACACTCATAACATAATAAACACCTTTTTTTTTTATAATTGCTAAATGCATCTAAATACAATTACATTAGGCATTTCGATCTTTTAGCCTTAAAATGAATTAGATAATTTGCAAAAAAGAATTTAACCAACTCAATGTATTTATCTCAATGTCGGTAGCAATACTTATTTTAAATGAAATAAAATTAATTAGTGCATTTGGAATGAAATTATTTGCTTATTTTTTTTATTGTAGCACTTTTTTATGTGTTTTATATGAGAAAAAAAACATAATTAAAAATAAAAATGTATTAGAGAACTTAATTTTTTTTTTAAAAATGTAGAATGTAGAATGCAAATAAAATACAAAGCAACGTATGAATGTGATATAAAATTACCAAATAACATTTTATTGACTCGTGAAAATCTTGTGACAGCTGCAAAGTAAATGAAAATTATCAAAACTAATCTGTTTACAATTTAAAGGAATAAAGATAAGTAATGGAAAACTTGTGCTGATGTTTTAGGATTTTTTAAATTCTTTTTTTCTCCATAAAAAAATTTTCAATTCTTTGGTATTATACCATCTTTTATTTCTAAATTTTTTAAATCATATGACTTTGTGTTTTTTCTAACAAAATGTTTTATATTTTGATTAAAAGTATAGCATTATTGTAGAACTATTATGTAAGGGCATTAATGCCATTTTGTTAAAATTTTGGGGGGAGAATTCATCATTAATATTTGACTAGTCAATGAATGGGGCAAAGTATATATATTTAAAGTTTATGGGGGCAAAATGTTATAAAGGGTCAAGTTTAAGGAAGCAAATTGTAATTAACCCTAAAAATTAATTCTTCACATTTTTGGTGTGAAAGTTTCGCCCCAGTTAAACAGGCCTTCTGGAGTAAATGGGCAGAGGCGTGTGACTATAAATAGAGTGGCTAATGGCTTGGAAGCGGTGCATATTAGGAGTACGTGCTCGCTGACGCTGTAAAAGAATTCGACACAACTTCGAGACGAGACGCACCGTCTCAACCCTCAACTCTCAACCAGATTCCTAAACTCTCTTCCTCTTATTTGTACTATCCCCCAAAATCTCCTCTGGAGTCTGGTGCACTCACCGCTGTCCTTCCTGTCCTTATTTGCTCCGAGCAGCATTCGCAGACGGTGAAGTGTAATAAGCTGCATTTCACATTTTCAGCATTGGCTTCCGTTCCTTCTTCTGAGTCCCTCGGAAGGTTGAATGCACCAGGCCGTTATAATTAGAGAGAAAAAAACTAATAATGCAAGCCCTACATGCTCCCAATCGACTTTCTCCTGCCAATTACCGGTTATCTCCGGTGAACCGCCGCTTGTGTCCGGTTGTTTCCTTCGAATTCTCCCCTAGTCACAGCTTTAGCTCACGTCTCTCTCTTCGTCGCTCCCTTCCTTCACTCCAATGTTGCTCTCTCCAGTCTTCATCTCCAGGTACGCTCATTCATTGGTTAATGCTCAAATTGTTTCTGTATAATCTGTGCTGGACTTCATGATTTTTGTTTCACTCGTTCAGGTGAAAACGCTGCCATAAATAGTATCGTTATCCCTAAAATGTCCCTTCATTTTTCAACTATGCTTTAATTACATGGTTGTTTCAATCGTGGATCTTTTTTATTTATTCTTTTGTGTTCTCAATTTATTCAGTGACGGATAAAAAAAGATTTATGGAAGCTTCCAGACATGGAAATGTCATTCCGCTCTACCAATGTATTTTCTCGGATCATCTGACTCCCGTGCTTGCATACCGCTGCTTAGTTAAAGAAGACGACCGGGAGGCTCCTAGCTTTCTTTTCGAGTCCGTAGAACCTGGTTTCCGAACTTCCCATGTTGTAAGCCTCTATGTTCCCCTTCAGAATATGGTTTTTCCATTATAGCACGTGTTTTATGATGTTTGTAGATTTTTGGTTTAACTGGTGTTGAAAATGGGAATTGTTAGGGTCGGTACAGCGTGGTCGGTGCTCAGCCAGCGGTGGAAATCGTGGCAAAAGAAAATGATGTCACCATCTTGGATCACTACAAAGGGAAGTTGAAGGAGATTGTTGTGGAGGACCCGATGACGATTCCAAGAGAAATTTCTGAAAGTTGGAAGCCTCAGTTGATTAGTGAACTTCCTGATACATTTTGTGGTATGACTTTAACATTACTCGAACCAGTAATTTCGTTTTTCCTTTCTAGTTGGACTCGTTAACTAGAATATTCTTATTTATCTGTCTATTCTTTTGTTTTCAAGTCGGCTCAGGTTTTCCATTTCTTTTAAAACAAAATTTAATTGTGCATCATTCAAAAAAAAAAAAAAAAACTTTTCTGAAGTTCGAATAAAAACGTGAAGTTTCATAATCGAGTAAACTCGTGAAATACTTTTCCTTTTTTGAGGTTGTATCCTGTAACTTCCTGTTTATTCTGTAAGAACAGTAAGTAATGTTTTTGCACATCAGATTATGAGGATTCCGTGAAGGAGTTAGGGTAAGATTTGTGATGGACATAAACTTTTGGGCTTTTCCTTCCCAGAATTGTGTTCCAACAGCCTGTAGCCATGGATGAAGATTGTTTTGTGATAGACAGGAATTTGGCCGTTGTAACGGAGAGGTTTTATGGGTTCTCTCTGTTACTGAAATTAGTATCTAGTGACTTCAAATGTAGAAAGTAGGAGATGTAATTTGAGTGTGTCCCATAAACTTGCTGTTTCTTCTCCATCAGTGGCACTCTTCTTGACTGAACTGGTGGAGGCATCGGAATGTTAGACGTCAAAATTCTTATTTAATACAGGGAATTCTTGTTGTTTGGAGATCTAAATATGCCCTCTTTAAAAGACGATAATCATGGACATCCATATATTTCGAAGAATCACACACTTTTTGGTATTATTATGTTTCTCTTACTTTCCCAACTACCTTCCATTACTGGGAGTAGAAGAATTTAGTTCGGAAGTAGCTATTTTTTCTATTCATTCCTGTTTTGGATGTGCTTTCTTTTGTGCCTGACATGTCTTTTGATAGAGTTACTGCATTTTAGACATAAAGTCAATGTTTGAAACGAATTTGCTGTGAAAAATTGTATGGTAGGCTCTTACTTGAGAGGTGAACAGAAATAAAAGTGGAGACTGTATTGCTAGGTTTACAACTTTTCTTGTATACTTAATTACGAGTTCTTTGGGCATCATGCGCAGGTGGATGGGTTGGTTATTTTTCTTACGACACTGTTAGGTACCTTGAGAAGAAGAAGCTGCCATTCTCTCAGGCGCCACGCGATGATCGGAGCCTTGCTGACATTCATCTGGGGCTGTATGATGATGTGATAGTATTTGATCATGTAGAGAAGGTATTCTTGTATCACTTTCTGCATGTGCATGCCTTTCTGTGTTTGTCTAATTCTTTCAGTTTTTGTGCTGTATAATGAGTCCAGACAGTGAATGGAATGTACAAGTTAATCAATTACCTATATAAGGAGGTCTAAACTTGATTGTTCACATTGTTTTGTTAGCTGAGTTCAGTCAGCTTTATGGTAGTAAAGACAATTTGATAAGATCTATGATAATGTATTAATGCACAATCTAAGCTTTAGTGAGTTTCATCTTAATAGCTGTTATATCATGGAATCTTTATTGAACGTGGGAGGTCACTAACCACTATTTTTATCCTCCCTTAATAGTTCCTTGTAATTCTTGAACATGAACCAGCTTGTCTTAGCCTCTTATCTAGATTGACGGAAAATAGCTTTTACCCTTATATATTAGTTATGGTCACTGTGATCTCTCTCTCAGGGCTGACCCAATTGCATTTGTTTCGGAAATTCTTCCTGAGTGATTATTAAGAATCCTTCTTGTTCATGCAGAAAGCATATGTTATCCACTGGGTGCAGTTAGATCAGTATCCATCAAGAGAGAAGGCTTACACTAGTGGTATGAAACGCTTGGAAAGACTAATGTCAAAAGTACAAAATATTGATCCGTAAGTTACTGTTTGAATCTTCTGTATCATAACATTTTCTTGGTTCAATTTTGATTTTACATCTTCTGTATCATAACATATTAAATTTCCATTTTCAGTCCAATGCTATCAGCAGGATCTGTTGAATTGTGGACTAACAATTTTGGACTCTCTCTGAACAAGAGTAACATGACAAGAGAAGAGTACAAGAAAGCTGTCATACAGGCAAAGGAGCATATCCTTGCTGGAGATATTTTTCAGATTGTTTTAAGTCAGCGCTTTGAGAAGAGAACATTTGCTGATCCATTTGAAGTCTACAGAGCACTGAGAGTAATAAATCCAAGTCCCTACATGGCTTACTTGCAGGTTAGTACTTCTATTAATACAAAGAACATCCATTCTCTTAATTGTCTGAAGCAAGTTTTCCAACTATGGTGTCTTCATTATTTGATCAGGCTAGAGGAAGTATTCATGTTGCTTCAAGCCCAGAAATTCTTACTCGTGTCAAGAAGGTATATCATTAAACTTTGGCCTTGAGTATAGAGCTCTTGATACAGAATTAATGTGGATGTATCAATGTTATTGACAGAAAAGGGTTGTTAATCGACCATTGGCTGGAACTACAAGAAGAGGGAAGACACCTCATGAAGATGAGATGCAGGAGCTGCAGCTTTTAAAAGATAAAAAGCAATGTGCAGAACATATAATGCTGGTCGATTTGGGCCGTAATGATGTGGGAAAGGTTTTACTGACTTACTTTAGTCTCTTGTAAAAAATTTTCTTTCATTTTTGTTATTAATGTTTATATTTTGGAGTTTGTAAGTATGATCTGCTCCCTGCCATAAACATATGGTATCTATTGCAGACTTTTCAGAAAACGTATGTTGGATCTTCCATATTTTTCTATGCTTTCTCTACACTGTCATAAGTAACATTATAAGATTTGTCAAATGTAGGTCTCGAAGCCAGGTTCTGTAAATGTTGAAAAACTTATGACTGTTGAGCGGTACTCCCATGTGATGCACATAAGCTCCACGGTGAGAATATCATCATAAAGCCTTGTTGACTATCAGTTTTTCAAATAAAATTGTTCATCCCTGTTGCAGTAATTACATAGTATGGACAATATAGTTTAGTTTTCATACTAGAGAGTTGCCAGTTTTCCTGCGGGTAGAAGTTTCATTTCAGTAGCTTTAAATGTCTTGGCCTCATAACACCTTCATAAACTCATGAGAGTTGAAGAAGGCTTTATTTGAGTAACCATTTTGTTTAAAACCATTGGGACATTATTACAGGTCACAGGGGAGTTGCTTGATCATCTTACTTGCTGGGATGCACTGCGTGCTGCACTTCCTGTTGGTACAGTTAGTGGAGCACCAAAAGTTAGTACTATATCCTTACTTTGTGCCCAATGTATTTTTAAATTGAATTACTAGCAAAAAATTTCCAAATGATTTAGTCATTTCACCCAAGGGCCAGAAAGAACAATCAAGAAATCTAAAATTAGATATGGTATGGTTACCTTGAAATTTGACATCCTAATAGTAAGGTGATAGTTTAGTGTTCTGGTGTGCTTCTATTTTTGCCATGCTGTGGGACTGCAAATGTAGGTCTCTCTTTCTCTCTCTCTGCCAATACAAATGAGAAATTGAGGAGAAAGAGATGCCTTGTAAACTAAGCTAAACTTGGAAGCGTCATTCTTTTTTTATTTAAACTGGAGACATGCCTTGCCTTCTGATTAACATACATTCCAGCTTTAAAATCTGAAATTTGGAAGTTTTCTCATATACAAGGAAATAAAATTGAAGTTGAATATTCAAAATAGTGTCATTGCCTTTTGTGGCTTTTTACGTAACTGAAGGATCATTTCTCAAGCATAATAATAACATCCAGCACTAGAAATCCTCATGCGAACTTAAACATCTCTCCAAGCTTTGTTGCATAAAGTTGTTTCCCTGTTTCCTCTAACCAGCATGTGCAATGTCTCACAGGTGAAGGCCATGGAACTGATTGATCAATTAGAAGTGGCGAGGCGGGGGCCTTACAGTGGTGGATTTGGCGGTATCTCATTTTCTGGCGATATGGACATTGCTTTGGCTCTCAGGACAATTGTATTCCCAACTGGAGTCCACTATGACACAATGTATTCATACCAAGGTTCCAACAAACGTGAGGAATGGGTTGCTCACCTCCAAGCTGGAGCTGGAATTGTAGCTGATAGTATTCCTGAGGATGAGCAGATGGAGTGTGAAAACAAAGTTGCCGGTCTTGCTCGCGCCATTGAGTTGGCAGAGTCTGCATTTGTGAATAGAGAACAAGAAATCAAACCCAATCAGAGTTCATTTCCCACCCCTGTACTGAGAAAAAGGTCGATGTTGCAGGTGGAAAGTTGAATTACTTGGGACTGTAGGGTTACTGAAGGAATATAGTGGTGTCTGTACTATAAAATCCCCCGTGGGGCTGAAAAAAAATCATTTTCTGTGAGTCATGGGTTCCATCATTGTTGTATATTGCAATTTACTGAAAAACTTGTAGAACTGGAATTAGGCACCTGTATTCTCCGAAGCCTCTGATGGAGCATTATAATTTGTAGTCTCTTTTAAGTAAAGCCCAACTTCCTTCCTTGTTAGGACTTGGAACTCTTGGTCTGGTTGTGAAGCTCAGAAAAGTGCACGTTTCACAAAGAACTCAAGTGATGTAATGTTGCTTACGGGCTGGAAAAAGTAGGAGGAGGTTTGAACTTGGAAAGAAAAACAAAGAATCATCAACATACGTATTGTTAACATAATCCTTGTGGGAAATCTTTGTTAATTGAATCATTAATATTATTGAAGGGCACCACCGGGAGGGGGCAAGCAACGCTTTCATTTTGATGATCAAACGGTTGCCCGTTTCTCCCAAGTATCAGGAGTTGGGCCCCAGGACCAACCATCATCATCGAGCATCAAAGCCCGCCCACAAAGTAAACTATCTAAACAAGCCCAAAATCTAAACTAGTAATTTAAGAATTCCCAAAAAAAAAAAAAAGACACTTCATCCTTCTTGACTTGACGGCATTTTATCCGAAAGTTAATGGTTTTAATTTTTAAGCGGCCAATACGGAGGGATTGTCTGCAATCTTTCATCTCCTTCAGCGCTGCATCAACAATGGCGTCTCTGTTAGCTGGAGCAGTCCCAATGGCAGCCTCTCAAACGGCCTTGTGTTTTCCTCTATCTCCTTCCTTGTCTCGTCCTCAATCCCTGCTTTCTTCCTCCTCCTCCTCCTCCTCCTCCTCCCTCTCAACTTCACTCTCACTCTCCTCACCCGCCTCTTCAACACTCCCTTTCAGTAAGTAGCAATTAATTATATCTCCTAATCCTTCACCCCAAAAAGAAAAGAAAAAAAGAACTCGATCTCACATGCGTCTATTTCTTCAGTTGCTAAAGTAATTGAATTATTTTCTTGGCCTCTCAGTTTATTGTGGAAGAGGAGACAAAAAGACTGCAAAAGGCAAACGCTTCAATCACTCCTTTGGAAACGTGAGTGAACTAATTTATATTTCCTTATTTATATTTTCAACAGGAGTTATTTACTTTCTCGAATATGGATATACTATGTCCGTAGGCGAGGCCAAAGAACAAGAAGAAAGGGAGAGGACCACCTAGGGTTGCTGTACCTCCGTCGCCCCCCAGGAAAGATCGATACGACGACGGCGAGGTTGTTAAGATTGAGATTGACGAGTCTCTAGGCTGAGCAGATGACGGATTTTAATTGGTTTTCCTTTTTGTTGTGTAATTCTGAGCTTACATGTGGCTTTTGCAGTTACGCTCTCATCATCTCTCATGCAATTTCATTACCTTGATTACTTTGTTGTTGCCACTGTCTTTTTCAGCGTTCTCTAAGCTATGGAGTATGGACTGCAATTTCTACTATTTTATTCACTCATCACTTCAATTTTACCCCATTTTTCCTTATTTGTAAGTCGAGCTCTGGACAATTAATTGTCCACCCTTTTAGGTGTAGGAAAGAAAAAAAATATAGTATGGGACAGGTAGAATGATTTTCGTCAAGGTGCAAGGTTGTGAACCTGGTGTTAAGATTTTAGGAAGCTGATGCTGAGCGGAGGCTTTGGGCAATAAATTTGTCTGATGCCGGAGAATGGCTGCGAGCTTTGTTGCCTATGGTCAGAAGCAGTCTCTGTAGATATATTTATCTCTCATGCTAAGTTGAGCTTTCTGCAATAAACAGATTGCAGTTCTGGCTGGTGAGGTAAATTACAAGCTCGATTTCCTTTCCCACTTCTCAAATCTTCAGCAGCAAATATCTTCTCCCTGATTTTCTTGTGTCCGTACACTTGATGCTTCCTTCTTTTTGAGGGCTACTGCAGATTATGCCAGAATACGGTTAGGGCATATAATATTCCTATTTAACCGACCGGACTGTGGAATTTGATTTGTTTGCTTTGCCCGCATCATTCAGTTATTTCTCAACTGTCGACCTCTGCTTTTACGTCTTCCTTAACATGCAGTCTTACTCTACTAAAGCCGGTCTGTTTGGATTGTGAATTATTAGAGATATTTTTACTGTAGCACTTTTTATGATGTGATGTATGTGAGATAAAAAGGTAATTGGGAAGGTAAAAAGGTGTATTGAAAATTATAATGATGATGCAAGCAAATAAATTTGGGGAAATAAAGCCCAATCCAAACAAACGTAAGTCCCTTGTGCAAGTTTTCGCTCACACTTGACATGGCCATTGGAGGCAATGGCGGGAAAATCTTCAAAGTCACGGTTCATATCTGAACTGGATTACTCATTCTATCTACTAGTGCTAGGTTTTAGTTCTGCTCTGCTTGACTGGCTACAAGAAACTTCAGTAGATGTGATGACTTTAAGAAGAGAAGCTATCTTTGTTGCTAATCCTGGTGTTGCCCTGTTTGGGTTGTCATTTTTTGCCGAAAAATTGCGTCGTTTTCTGTGATCACATTTTTATATTACCTTTTTCCCTCACGTACATCAAATCGATACAGTAATTTTTCCATGAAAAATCATGAAAAATACAATCCAACCGGGGCAAACTAACAGAAAAATGTCATTATAGTCTCCATGAGAATCGCATTATCAGTTCTCTAACGTTCTAAATCTAATGAATGACACCATATTTATATGGGTATCAGCAAAGCTGAACCTCGTTTATGTCTTTTTTCTTTTTGCTGGGTGTGTGGTATTTTCCTGTTTTTGAGAAGGAAATAGATGGGCTGAAAAAGCTGGCAAGAGTGGAAAGAGGAAAGAATCTTTAACCACCAAGCTACGTCTAAATCCCGTTTTTACTGGCTAATTAACAAGGAGTTTTAAGTGGCCACTTACCTGTCCTTCGTAGCATATATGCAGCTTGACGCAAGTTCGATCAGCCTGGCCAGACCAGTTTCGTAAATTTCATCTCTCAGAACAATGTCGAACAGTCTAAATCATGGCTGATATAATTCACAGCATTGGTGTGTAAACAAGCAAATGACAGGACTGCAGTCAGCTGCACCATCTCTTTTCTTCTTTCTTAACTTCTGAGCTGGTGCAAGTTTGCCCTTTAAACATTGCATCACCCGTTGAAGTTAGAAGCTTACCATCCATGTGAATTTAATCCCACTAAGTAGTGCTCTTCGTGAAAGTGATTCACTAATTTGAACACATCGTCTAAACAAGATGGCAAAAATGGGTCAACTACTTCATCTCTTCCAAAAGTGCACATAGATGGTGATTAAGCCATGCCACAAGTAGCTAATTACATGCCTGTTTTCCACGACAACATGTTACGGTACTATCAAAGAATTGCCATCTTTGTTATTTTATGGTAATTTCCATGCAGATAGTCGGAAAGTCATTCAACTATCAAAGAATTGCCTTGATAGCAGGAACCTGTAACTACTCGCACGAGAAGCACTTAACACGATTTTATCAGCAAATACGGCTCATCTGATTATTAAACCAACCTGTAATCGATCACATGAGTTGATATAATGCATTTTCCAATTCAGATCTCCGCAATAATTAAGGGTGCCAATGCAAGGAAAGCAACTGAGTTTCAGGAAAACTCAGGAGAACACAATTTCCCATCCAAAACAACTGCTTCGATAGAGTTCCAATTGGGCATCTTTGCACAAAGTGGATGTCAATAAACTCTACCAAACAATCAAAACAAAAGAGTTTAAAGCTTCCATTTTTTCCTTCCAATACTTCTTTACTGATGGCATTCCACTATTTTATGGCAACTTCCCTCACCCTAATTTGCAAACTTTTTACAGGCTTGCCGCTTAACTTCCATTAACAATCTTTAGATGCATGATGATTCTGACAACATGTTCCATGCCGTAACTAAAGCAACTTAAGCAACTGAAAAAACAACGAAAGATCATAATCTAGAATAAATTATTTCTGGAAGCATCCACCTCCTCCAATTCCTTGCAGGAAATCAAACAAAGAAAGAAAAAATTAGTGCTCATGATGGCTTCCTGGACATGGTAACGTTGATCAGAAATCCAAAAGGCAATGCAATTTCAGATTAATGCTGCTTACCAAAAATCACACCGTTTTAAGAATAAATAGTAGATAAGCAACAGCATAAGGAAGTTTTCTGGAATATTACCATTTGTCCATTTGCTTGGGTGCTCAACATCTTTGCAGACGCCAACTATTGACCAAGTCCTACTTCAGACTCACAGAAGGAAGGTAGTCAGTCTTGCTTATTTGTTACAAAAATTACACATGTATCAAATTACCAAAATTTTTTTTGCAGAGCGTCCAATTGGAGAAAAACCCCGCCTCTTGGGGGGGCAGGGGGGGGGGAGATTTTACTCACATGATTCAGCTATTGGAGATGGTGTAAAAATAGACCAGCAGATGGATTCCATTTTTAGCTCTTCATAACTGCTTATATAAAGTCCAGTTGGACTCTATTACATTGAGTAACCACATATAACATCAGAAAAGCCCATGCATGGTTTACACTTAACAGTGTGGCAAGCTTAAGTAACTAAGAAAGTCAAGATAAGTGAATGGGGTGCAATCCCAGGTTAGAGTTACTAGAGCACATTTCAGGAGTCGAGAACAAGACATAATGAACCTAATCAATTTGGTGGAGTTAAACAAACTGCAAAAGGCAATAGTGAACTTATTCCGGCAGCATGGAATAGAGATATAAATGCTTTACGCTGTGGCAAGCCTAAGTAATTAAGAAACTCAAAATAAGCGAATGTGGTGCTATCCCTGGTACAAGTTACTAGAGCACATTTCAGAGTCTGACAAGAACCCACAATGAACCTTACCAATTTGGTGGAGTTAAACAAACTGCAAAAGGCAAGAAAGAACCTTTTCCAGCAGCATGAAACAGGGATATCCACCCCCATATCAAGCTCTTTAAGGTACAGTTCACTTCTATATCTCAATTCCATGAAGCCACAGTCTTTATAAAAGTCTAGCTTTAGGCATTATACATAATTTCAGATACCACGAAGTCACACACAGACTGCCCTTCCAACCCACTGATTACCAAATCCGATTACCTCCATATTAAGCTAAAAGTGAAGAAGATCTCTACATAGAGACTCTCATTCATCCATCGAGCTATCTCTGACATTCCAAAACAGTTGTACACAAAAGAATCATCAGCAAAACCAAAAAGTTCCTCAAAACTACCTTTTAACAGTTACCATTAAATCTCCCGCAAGCAACTAATTACCAAACCCTAACAGGTGCAAATATACATAGAAGTAAAATATTTAACTTCAAACAAAAGATCACAAAACAAAGTACTTGCTGCTGCAGTACATTGTTCATCATGTAATATATCCATATCCACAATTGCACACTCAGCAGAGTACACAACAAAAATCCACCCTTTTTTAGGAAACCAAAATGCACACTTACAACAGAAAGAAGAAAGAAGAAAGCTTTTCTTCTGTAAATTTGATTTGACTCGGTACTCATCTCAATCGATTATTTCCTGTTGCTGTCATAATCAACGATCTCGTTATCAGTAACGGACCTGGAGTGCTGGACTATGGATCGTCCGATGGAGTTGATCCAATCCTCCTTTTCTTTCTCGGAATCAGCGATGAAGTACATGGTCTCGGAGCGGGTAGAGAGCTCGAAGGCGTTCTGCTTGTTAAGCACATCTTCAGCTCCCTTGACCGTGAGGCAAGTGGCCACCGGGATGACGCCGCGTGGCTGTGAGCCGCGGGTGACGGTGGACTCCTTGAACCAGAAGAGCTTCCCCTGTTTGAGAACGAACCAACGGCGTCGCCAGGTCTTGATATACTCCCCTTGTTTTAAAAGCCAGCCGGTTCGCTCCGGGTTGGACCAGAACTCGACGCCGCCGTGCTCTTCGTTGGACTGGCCCGCCGAGCCCGTCGCGGCCCGCCATAGAGACGCCATATTTGTTTGGGGAATCTCAAAAGCCCTCAAAACGTTTTTCAGAGAGAAGAAGACACAAAGGGCAGAGGAGGCAGGTTGTTGATCCCTTTCCCCCACTCTTGTCGGTTCTAATTTGGAGGCATATTAGGATAGCTTGCGTCGGGTGGCTGTTATGTTATGTTATGTATATGCAACATTGCAACTACAAAAAAAGGTGATTGATTGTAGCAACAGAAAATAGGCGTTGAAGATTGAGAATTCTGTCGGAGCCTTAGTAGTAACAGCATGATTTGTTAGATTGTAATTGAGCCATTTTGGATCCTTCGCTAGTGTGTGTCGAATTCATCAACTGCCCAAAAAGGAAGGGAGGAAAAAAAAAAAACCACTACACAATTATGTAAAATTTTTCTTTTATTTCGTCATAGAATCGAATAGTTAGAAGAAACTTGAAAAAAATGATCAATTAGCTAAACCTTCTCCATCATAATTGACATCAATCACTAGAGCTCTTTTTCTTAAAGTCGATGTTCCTAAA